TCGCTTGCGGGCGAGGCGCTGGACTCTCCATGCTAATGACAGAAACCTGATCAACACTGCAAGATAACACAATGTAAAAAAATTTTGTTAACACTGTCTAGAAAGTCACGGACACCTCGTCAATACTGAGGAGCTCCATCTTGTTGAAACCAAAACAGTCTGTACACTATTAATCTTTGCACTACGAATAAATTGTCGTTATTATAAATTCTCGTTATGCGAAACAGATGCAGTTATAACTCTTACCAACTAGATAGCAACTTGCTTTAATATCGTCTTTAGCCAGATTTAATTAATTTTTTTGCAACTAATATCTTAATACAAGGTCTTCGTTCGAAATTCTTTTTTTTTGCAGTGAAGCATCTTTTACGAGAAGTTCCCTCTACCAGCAGATGATCGCTGACATTTAAAAGGTGTCTTGCTATAGCAGGAGGTCGTCCTAATCCTCTCTTGCGAAGATTAATTTGAAGAGCAATTTGTCAATCAACTCTTTCTGGCTTGGGTTGGGAACAATTTTTGCTCTTCAGCGCTAATGGGACAGATATGGCCGATGAAAAACTTTGATGGGTACAATGCAGATATTTTTCAAGTCTTTAGTATTTACGTTTTAGTTCAAAATAACAAAAGATTCAATGGAATTCTGCCCGCGTTGGAAACAAACACAACCTGTTGCTATGAAAAAGCATTTCACACTGCATAAAGCAAGAAGAAACAACGACATTGATTCATTGTAGATCGGCATACTCGGATTCTTTTGACCATAACAACTTATGGATGTTGGCACAATATAATTGAAATTCAAAGGAACGCGAGTAAAATTTTTATTGTTATTTTACTACATAAGACTTATTTTTACATACGAAGCTTTCACAAACTAGGTTATGGCCGGTCATTCGCTTGATGTATTTAGCAAGCTTTAGTATCCGAGATTGCTTCATAACTATTCCATGCAATTTGTGGTTAACAGATATTATACTGTAGAAATGACCACTAATACTTGGACACATAGCACTTTAACCGAATCATCTTTGGACATGATTGGAGTCTGGGAAACATGTGATAAATCGCTGCTAGACGATCCTAAGTATAAATATATAATTATGGAGCCTTCATGATGTCGACAGAAATTTGGTCAACAATGTAATAAAGCATAATTTATACTCAAAACTCCGAGGTCGCTTGCGGGCGAGGCGCTAGAATCTCCATGATAATGACAGAAATCTGGTCAACACTACAAAAAGCACAATATATAGTCAAAACGTCGAGGTCGTTTGCGGGCGATGCGGTGGAGCTTCCATGATATCGACAGAAACTTGGTCAACATTGTTATAAAGCATAATTTATACTCAAAACCCCGAGGTCGCTTGCGGGCGAGGCGCTAGAATCTCCATGATAATGACAGAAATCTGGTCAACACTACAAAAAGCACAATATATAGTCAAAACGCCGAGGTCGCTTGCGGGCGATGCGGTGGAGCTTCCATGATATCGACAGAAACTTGGTCAACACTGTTATAAAGCATAATTTATACTCAAAACGCCGAGGTCGCTTGCGGGCGAGGCGCTGGACTCTCCATGCTAATGACAGAAACCTGATCAACACTGCAAGATAACACAATGTAAAAAAATTTTGTTAACACTGTCTAGAAAGTCACGGACACCTCGTCAATACTGAGGAGCTCCATCTTGTTGAAACCAAAACAGTCTGTACACTATTAATCTTTGCACTACGAATAAATTGTCGTTATTATAAATTCTCGTTATGCGAAACAGATGCAGTTATAACTCTTACCAACTAGATAGCAACTTGCTTTAATATCGTCTTTAGCCAGATTTAATTAATTTTTTTGCAACTAATATCTTAATACAAGGTCTTCGTTCGAAATTCTTTTTTTTTGCAGTGAAGCATCTTTTACGAGAAGTTCCCTCTACCAGCAGATGATCGCTGACATTTAAAAGGTGTCTTGCTATAGCAGGAGGTCGTCCTAATCCTCTCTTGCGAAGATTAATTTGAAGAGCAATTTGTCAATCAACTCTTTCTGGCTTGGGTTGGGAACAGTTTTTGCACTTCAGCGCTAATGGGACAGATATGGCCGATGAAAAACATTGATGGGTACAATGCAGATATTTTTCAAGTCTTTAGTATTTACGTTTTAGTTCAAAATAACAAAAAATTCAATGGAATTCTGCCCGCATTGGAAACAAACGCAACCATTTCACACTGCATAAAGCAAGAAGAAACAACGACATTGATTGGATGTTGAACAACTTATGGATGTTGGCACAATATACTATATAAGACCTATTTTTACATACGATGCTTAGACGAACTAGGTTATGGCGGGTCATTCGCTTGATGTGTTTAGCAAGTTTTAGTATCCGAGATTGCTTCATAACTATTCCATGCAATTTGTGGTTAAAAGATATTATACTGTAGAAATGAGGACTAATACTTGGAGACATAGCGTTTTAGCCTAATCATCTTTGGACATGATTGGACTCTGGGAAACATGAGATAAATCGCTGGTAGGCGACCAAGTCATATCTAAGTAGTAAACTTAATCCTCAATTACCATAATATTATTACTTTGTTGATCATACTATGAAAAGAAATATATATAATCCTAAGCATGACGTCGAAGATTTGACGTCATGAAGAGACATGAAAAACAAGATTAATTGCTGGTTGGGGCATCCGTCGATTTTAATTTTTTAATAAGATTCTAAAGGCTCAATCATCCCTTAATTGACGTGTTATGCAAATAATATCGGGTTCGTTTCACTTTCTTATATGAGAGCTGGCTTCGCGTTAGGAAGGAAGTCGCTAATTTTCAATTTGCATTAACATAAGCTGCTACGCAGTTATGTAATACATACGGACATCGCTAAGGAAGAGGAGAACTCGTGGATTAACTGCATCGTTGCCAAAGACTAATTCGTTAAATTCAATCGATGCGTTTAATACACGGCGGTTGACAGCGAATGAAAGATACGAAGAGAGAAAGAGAGATGGCACGCTACACTCGAGGAATTTCAATGGCCGACACATGTTAGCGCATATCATTTGGTTTGCCGACCGACAATGCGCCTTAATTTTCCCCATGGGAATTATAATTATTTTCAAAGACAAATTCGTGTCAGCCTAATGGCCTCGCCTGTCTGAGAATGAGGCTGCCACAAATTTCTAACTATTTTATCAAGATTGTAAGTAAATAGAGGTTAATCTGAAATAATTATTATATATTTATAATTAGATGTAAGTTATTAAGAGGTCTTAATAATAACTGTAATGGTCGTCTTGAATTGAATACCATAAGTAATTATTACTGTAACATCACAAGGTAGCATCGACAGCCGTCGTCATTGCATATGGCAAACGGTTCAAAATGAAAATGACATTTTCATGGTCAAAAAATAAATTTTACGACTATTGATGCGACGACAAACATAATCAATGAAAGTTATAAACCGATTATAGCAACAATTGCTTTCCAAGTCGTTAAACCTCTCAATTGTGCTTTCCAATTTGTTGCAAACGGTGAAAATTAATTGACTCCTCTACCGTCTACAGTTAAGTAATGCCGGCGTTATCATAAACCGATATAATTGACTCCTTAAATATCCAGTAAACGTCTTAGCAGGCATCTGCTATTTAAACTTTATTTAATGTATCGTCTTTATAACGGGAAAGTTCCCCTTTCGATTTTAATATATTTCCTGTTCTTTATTTAATCTTTTTGGAAAATATTAATTATTGATTAATAAACCCCGTCATATCGTATCCCATTCTAAAAGATGTATGATGAACTTAACAAGATTTACTAGCAAGAAGTTTGCGTGTTGAAGTTGTAGTGTTATTGAAAAGTACATACACATAGACCATCGTAATATTTACGATTGCGTGTAAAGTGCAAGTCCCGCGAGCTCCTAAATCATGTGGGATAATATTTAAAAAGAAAATTATAAAACAAAATCAGATCCGCTTTCGTATTAATAAATCCTTATATTTATTTAAATTAGCAAAAATAAAAATGAAGTAATTGGATTTCTATTATTTCTTTTGCGGATACGTCGTCCCAGTAATTCTAAGGATGTAGCCTGAAAGGAACATGATATACGTAGCCGTCCACCTAATTCCTATGATCGACTTTCCCCGCATCAGCAAAAATATCGAAAACGAAAGCACACCGTAAATTCATAACGAGGACGCGTCTCGGAAAATTATAGCTTTCTAACGATTTATTAAAGCTAACGATATGGAAAAAATCGTGATGAATTCGTAAGAACCAGGAAGCGGTAGGATCGTCGTGCCCAGTTGCACAATCTCTGAAAGAAACTGTTTCGCGCGGAACAACAGAATTCCGTAAAGTAGTTAAAATTGACAATGGTTCAAGTAACGGGCCTCGGTAAACGGACGGTTTCGTTTTCAATAAATGACAAACCGATACGCCACTAAGCCCCCGGCGATTCCATTTCGATTTTGAATCGAACCATTCACCCAAGTGAAAATTTTTCAACGCAAGGTCATTGATATTGAACCGAACTTATTATAACATTATAATACATTTTTATATTAAATATCATCAATGCCCAATGAAATGAACTTATATACTGATGACATCGAAAAGAAAACGTTCAATGTCGAACGGGCAAAGAAAAGATTCCATCATCAGCTTTGTCGGGATGTACATTTTTTTGCGCAACGTCGACGCGAGGGTTAAAATCGTGCAGTTTGAGTCGAGATTACGTGAACCAAGGCCAACTGGGTCCGTAAGATAGTTTTATGTAGGGTACTCAAAGGACGAATGTTTAAAGAAGACACTAAATATTCATTAAGGGCCTTTTTCTCGAGAAAATGTCAATTATAACGTTATTAATACGAGTCCGAATTGAAATTAATTAGCCGCGACGGTTTTACGCGTATTGCAATTATAATAGATGTAAACGAACGCGTGCACAAAACAAAGGACGTCAGATTTGAAGGTCGTCTCCGGTACTAACCTGGCTTATGTTGGAGGCGATCTTCACCTCGGTCTTTTCTAGCTTCGTTTGATAGAAATCCCTTGGTTCCTCTGTAGTTTTTTCATCTTCGTACGTGGTGGAATCAAACAGCGTGGTGTCCGTCACATCGAACTCGGTGGTTGTTGTAATAGGGGTTGTACTTTTTATTTTGTTGGTGGAATCGTTGCTGTTATTGGTGATAATTGTCGACACAGGGTGGTAAAACGTCGATTTTGGAACTGCGTTTGATGTAGTGGTCGTGGTGGAGTTACCTTCGGTGGCAGCCGCGAGGTTACCGGCGATTATTTCCGAAGAACGTCCCTGCCGGAACCAATCGTTGTATTGTCGATCGGAAAAACGTAAATTTTCCGTCGATATGGCGGAAGCAGCCGCGAACGCCAAAAACTTAAAGACGATGTCGCGCATCTTCAAAACCGAAACCTTAGACTCGGAGCCAAACTGTTCGAGAGCGCCTCTGAAGATGTAAATGTTGTTTCGCACTCCCTCGGACTTGAGTGGTACCGGCGGATGCTAGTGCAGGTCTGTTCCCAGATAGAAGCTTCATTGCACTATGTACGCCGCTACCGATCCTCAGGTTAACCCACTTCTTGGCCAATGGTACCGTATTTTGGTATTGCGGAGCAAATGCTCTGCGTCTATCGCTTCACGCGCTCGTTCTAAGGGAAGATTTGTTTTCAAAATTAGTAGACATTTTCAAAATTAACTAATTAAATTAATTATTTGAATACTTAAAACTTGTATCAAGTAATAATTATTTTAACAATGCGATTTAATTGATTAACATGTTAAAGGATACACTTGATTAATAAATGGTTTCAATTCTATAAAATAATAAATTTTATTCGCCACTTCATTTTTTTGCGATGAATGGAAACCGGTAGTGTTTCCTTCTTGTAACGGGATGGATATCCGGCACTTTCCATTCACTAAAGAATTGCTTTGTTAGATGGATATTAATACATTGTTCGTAAAATATACAAATTGTCTGAAGTAAATCTATAAGTCAAAAATAATGAAAACAGTTAGAAAGACTATTAAAAGAAATATGTATTATCAAATAATATATTAGAAATATACAGGGTACCCGGAAATTGCGTTCATATATTTAAAGGTCTACAACTTCCCTGTGAACAAACGTTCGCTTCTATTCATAGAAGATTGTGTGAAACTGGGCGCATTAATGGAAATCGTTACGACTGTGGAAGATCATGCACTACGAGGACTGTAGAAGTGGAAGAATGCAGTAGCTATCAATCCTACGGTAAGCACTAGGAGATTATCGGTACAAAAAAATGTGCGGAAAACCACCGTTTGGGAGGTATTTAAAGATCAGCTACTGCATCCATATCATTTCCAAAAAGTGCAGTCCTTAAAACCCACCGATAGCATCCCAAGACTACAGTTCAGTCGTGATTATGGAACAATGGCGCCATGACAGAAATTTTCCGGAAAAAGTGTTGTTTAAAGATGAAGCTGGATTTACCCGAGATGGCGTCATCAACTTCCATAATATCCATGTTTGAGCGGATGAAAACCCATACAATGTTTTAGCCACGAAACATCAAGAAATATTTTCTATTAATGTATTGTATGGGTTGGTATTATTCAAGTACGGCAATATTTAAATGAAACCTACCGTGAAAGATGGATTTTGAAAGACGTTCGCCGGACTTGAATCCCATAGACTTTTTTCTCTGGGGTTACCTTAAATATTTAGTCTATGCAACACCAGTTAACAATGTCGAAGAGCTAGAACAACGTGTAAGGGACGGTTGTAACACTATTCGAAACAAACAAGATATTTTTTGGAAAGTAAGACGTTCATTAATTAAACGAGTGAGATGTTGCATTGACATGGATGGTGGAATTTTTGAACAATTCTTATAACTTTTTTTGGTGTGATTTGTTAAAAATTTAAGTGCTTTTTGTTAATGTTTTAAGTTAAAAAACCTGGTCAACACTACAAAAAGCACAATATATACTCAAAACGCCGAGGTCGCTTGCGGGCGAGACGCTGGAGCCTCCATGATATCTACAAAAACTTGGTCAACACTGTTATAAAACATAATATATTCTCAAAAGGCCGAGGTCGCTTGACGGTGAGGTGCTAAAATCTCAATGATAATGACAGAAATTTGGTCAACACTACAAAAAGCACAATATATACTCAAAACGCCGAGGTCGCTTGCGGGCGAGACGCTGGAGCCTCCATGATATCTACAAAAACTTGGTCAACACTGTTATAAAACATAATATATTCTCAAAAGGCCGAGGTCGCTTGACGGTGAGGTGCTAAAATCTCAATGATAATGACAGAAATTTGGTCAACACTACAAAAAGCACAATATATACTCAAAACGCCGAGGTCGCTTGCGGGCGAGACGCTGGAGCCTCCATGATATCTACAAAAACTTGGTCAACACTGTTATAAAACATAATATATTCTCAAAAGGCCGAGGTCGCTTGACGGTGAGGTGCTAAAATCTCAATGATAATGACAGAAATTTGGTCAACACTACAAAAAGCACAATATATACTCAAAACGCCGAGGTCGCTTGCGGGCGAGACGCTGGAGCCTCCATGATATCTACAAAAACTTGGTCAACACTGTTATAAAACATAATATATTCTCAAAAGGCCGAGGTCGCTTGACGGTGAGGTGCTAAAATCTCAATGATAATGACAGAAATTTGGTCAACACTACAAAAAGCACAATATATACTCAAAACGCCGAGGTCGCTTGCGGGCGAGACGCTGGAGCCTCCATGATATCTACAAAAACTTGGTCAACACTGTTATAAAACATAATATATTCTCAAAAGGCCGAGGTCGCTTGACGGTGAGGTGCTAAAATCTCAATGATAATGACAGAAATTTGGTCAACACTACAAAAAGCACAATATATACTCAAAACGCCGAGGTCGCTTGCGGGCGAGACGCTGGAGCCTCCATGATATCTACAAAAACTTGGTCAACACTGTTATAAAACATAATATATTCTCAAAAGGCCGAGGTCGCTTGACGGTGAGGTGCTAAAATCTCAATGATAATGACAGAAATTTGGTCAACACTACAAAAAGCACAATATATACTCAAAACGCCGAGGTCGCTTGCGGGCGAGACGCTGGAGCCTCCATGATATCTACAAAAACTTGGTCAACACTGTTATAAAACATAATATATTCTCAAAAGGCCGAGGTCGCTTGACGGTGAGGTGCTAAAATCTCAATGATAATGACAGAAATTTGGTCAACACTACAAAAAGCACAATATATACTCAAAACGCCGAGGTCGCTTGCGGGCGAGACGCTGGAGCCTCCATGATATCTACAAAAACTTGGTCAACACTGTTATAAAACATAATATATTCTCAAAAGGCCGAGGTCGCTTGACGGTGAGGTGCTAAAATCTCAATGATAATGACAGAAATTTGGTCAACACTACAAAAAGCACAATATATACTCAAAACGCCGAGGTCGCTTGCGGGCGAGACGCTGGAGCCTCCATGATATCTACAAAAACTTGGTCAACACTGTTATAAAACATAATATATTCTCAAAAGGCCGAGGTCGCTTGACGGTGAGGTGCTAAAATCTCAATGATAATGACAGAAATTTGGTCAACACTACAAAAAGCACAATATATACTCAAAACGCCGAGGTCGCTTGCGGGCGAGACGCTGGAGCCTCCATGATATCTACAAAAACTTGGTCAACACTGTTATAAAACATAATATATTCTCAAAAGGCCGAGGTCGCTTGACGGTGAGGTGCTAAAATCTCAATGATAATGATAGAAATTTAGTCAACACTACAAAAAGCATAATATATACTCAAAACGCCGAGGTCGCTTGCGGGCGAAGCGCTGGAGCCTCCATGATATCTACAAAAACTTGGTCAACACTGTTATAAAGCATAATATATTCTCAAAAGACGGATGTCGCTTGAAGGCGAGATGCTGGAATCTCCATCATAATGACATAAATTTGGTCAACACTACAAAAAGCACAATATATACTCAAAATGTCGAGGTCGCTTGCGGGCGAGGCGCTGGAGTCTCCATGGTAATGACAGAAATCTGGTCTACACTACAAAAAGCACAATATATACTCAAAACGCCGAGATCGCTTGCGGGCGAGGCGCTGGATCCTCCATGATATCTACAAAAACTAGGCCAACACTGTTATATAACATAATATATTATCGAGTAGTAAACTAATTCCAGGGTAGGATTGAGGATCCTGAAGAAGCTTTAATAAAAAAAGCGAAATATTGGTTATGAAAAAATAATTGCGTCTCAGTGTTCTCAATCCTATCCTGGAATTAGTTTACTACTCGAGTTGCTAACAGATACACTCGAACATGGAGCCTCCGTGATATCGACAAAAACTTGGTCAACACTGTTATAAAGCATAATACATTCTCGAAAGGGCGAGGTGCTAAAATCTCCATGATAATCACAGAAATTAAGTCAACACTACAAAAAGCACAATATACCGGGTGATTCAGACCAGGGATTTTTCTCAAAAACGCGATTACCTAAGAAGTTGCAATAAAAAATATGATAATAAAATCGTATATAAAGAATCCAATGCACCAGTTTTTATCACACCGGAAGTTGGTGGTAATGACATCAACTTAGAAATTTTCCAAGTTGTCATATGAATTAAGTTTTATCGTAGAATAGATATTTTAAAAACGCTCAACAATCTGAACAAACAATAGCAATGATTTTTTTAACACTTTATTTAAAATTTTAACAACAAAAACGAACGTATTAACGTTCAAAAACGTTGCCATCAACAGCCACACGCCTTCTTGCTCGCCTCCTTACAGCATTAACTGCACGACGAATTTCGTTAGCGTTAATGGACTGGCATGTTCGACGAATTCGGAGTTTCATATTCTCCCTTGTTGTAGGCGGTTCCATGTACACAGGAATAATGCTGGTCAATTACCCTACGTGCAACAACTGCAAAATGTGAAGGACGCCCATCGTGTTGATACCATAGATAATAGTAGATGTTCAGCACATTTTGTACCACACCACGTGTTGAGGGTCCATAAGTGTTGATTGTCAACATATCTCACCCAGTGCGGATTTTCCCTTGCCCAGTTGTGGGTGTTATGGAGATTTACCTCTCCATTAATTTAAAAAGCGATTCATCGGTCCAAAGAACACGTCTAGGAAAATCGTCGTCTTGATCCAAAATCCAATTACAAAAAGCCAGCCTTCTTTCAAAATCTCGTCCACCAAGAGCCTGATGGACACTAAGATGGTATGGGTGCAAACGATTTTCCTTTAATATTCTCCATACTGTTGATTGGCTTAATGTTAAGTCTATCGAAATCCGGCGTATAGAAACGTATGAACTTGAATTTCACCGCTTCAAGAACTTCAGCAGTACTTTCCTCTCTTCTGATTCTTCGAATCGGTAAGCCTTTGTTCTGAGATGGTTGCACACAACCTTTACGTTTTACTTGGTCAACACTCTAGAATGTCACGGACACCTCGTCAATAATGAGGAGGAGCTCCATCTTGTTGA